CACACACACTTCTATAGACACACACACACACACCTCTATAGACACACACACACACACACCTCTATAGACACACACACACACTCTATAGACACACACACACACCTCTATAGACACACACACACACACCTCTATAGACACACACACACACACCTCTATAGACACACACACACCTCTATAGACACACACACACACACCTCTATAGACACACACACACCTCTATAGACACACACACACACCTCTATAGACACACACACACCTCTATAGACACACACACACCTCTATAGACACACACACACACACACCTCTATAGACACACACACACACACTTCTATAGACACACACACACACACACCTCTATAGACACACACACACACACCTCTATAGACACACACACACACACTCTATAGACACACACACACACACCTCTATACACACACACACACACCTCTATAGACACACACACACACCTCTATAGACACACACCCCTCTATAGACACACACACACACACCTCTATAGACACACACACACACACCTCTATAGACACACACACACACACCTCTATAGACACACACACATAGACACACACACACACACACCTCTATAGACACACACACACACACACCTCTATAGACACACACACACACACCTCTATAGACACACACACACACACCTCTATAGACACACACACACACACCTCTATAGACACACACCCCTCTATAGACACACACACACACACTCTATAGACACACACACACACACACTCTATAGACACACACACACACACACACCTCTATACACACACACACACCTCTAGACACACACACACACACACCTCTATAGACACACACACACACCCCTCTATAGACACACACACACACACACCCCTCTATAGACACACACACACACACCTCTATAGACACACACACACACCCCTCTATAGACACACACACACACACACCTCTCTAGACACACACACACACTCTATAGACACACACACCCCCCTCTATAGACACACACACACACACACACATATAGACACGTGCATATGAATATGCAAAACCAAATATAAATATTCAGTATTATTTATGATCATCTTTTTTCCCTCAATATATTTGTATTATTTTGTGTTTATATAAATATCTATTAATAATACTATTTTTGTTTAAAGTATGAATGGCTGCATGCTTTTCAAAATGTTCATCATATATCAATATCGGCATATTGAATCCCATACTGCTTAAAAATAAATTTATTTGTAAATGTAAGGAAGGTTTTGAAGAATGTTTCCAGTAATAAAGTATGAAAATACGTAAAGTATTTAGCGAGTTATTATTGATTAAATGCGCTGATACTTCATCGCACAGCCAAACATGACGCTGAAGTGAGCAGGAGAGGCATCTGCTGCAGAGTGGACCTGCAGACTGTCTTCCTCTGACGTCACCGACAGGAACCTCCCATTTACACCTGAATGACGTGAGACCTAGTGGTCAGCAAAAAACGCGTTTCTTATTATGACAGTATTAAAAAAAATCAATCATGACAACAAAGTCAGAATATTACAAAACAAAATTATACAACAGTAAGTTAAAATAAGAGGAGAAAAAAGTCGTTATAAGATGAAAGACGATACATCTTATGAGAACAGGAAGCAGCGGGTGGAGCAGAGGCTCCAGTTCTGATCGCAAACCCAGAATCGACTAAGAATATTTAAATATATTCCTTCCAGGAGAAGAACCTCTCTGCAGCTAACAGGAAGGGCGACGAACTGCTGTCAGTCTCAGACCTTATATGGAAACAGGACCATTCCACTGGGGAAGTGAAGGGGGCGCTATTTCCTAGATTATCCATGTCTCTCGTTTCTATTTTCCTGTGAAATCTGATATATTTTCATCTTTAAGAAGGATTTTCACTCTCAGTATTTGAACTTCTCTCTTTATTTACTTTATCTCACAGTTTTAACAGATTCTGTAGCTTCCTGTGTTCTTCTAAATTTGCTCCTGAGTCGTATCTTTTCAGGCCTGATGCTGCCTCTAGTGGCGTGGGGAGGTAACACAACTAATATATTACAATATTATTCACTATGAATTCAGCATTACTGGCACTGTAAAAGATAAACTATAACACATCATAGTTTTTCATTTTCTTAAGGAAGTAGAGGTAATTAAATGAGATAAACTAAACCAGGAAGTGATTCCAGTTTCTCTCGATGGCCAACCTGTTGAAACTGGCAAATTTTAAATTCCTGGTGTCGTTCCTGGGACATTCAGCTCGACTTTGCAGAAAACACTTCCTGTATTTTTAAGGACTTTCTCAGACGCCATCTTTAAGAGGATCTAGTGATCTCAGGGTTACCCAACTAGAGCTTGTTGAGCTAAAATGTTAAAATGTTGTTTTAACTTGAGTTTTAACTCAAGTTAAAACAACATTTTAACTCAAGTTTGAACTTTTCATCTCCTCGGCTGGTTCCGTCTCATGAGCTGCAGATTAACAAGCTTTTAATGAAACTTTCACTGGCAGGTAAAACAGCAGGTAAATGGTGGTGAAACCAGAACCAACTTTATCTCAACTGTTGCTGAAAGATGATGGAAGATGCAGGAATATTTTAGCAGAGAGCTCCATCCTCTTTCTTCATCAGTTTGACCTCTGACCTCATGAAGCCGTCTCTGTTTTCCTCTGGTAATAACAATCTATTAGAAATCATTTATTGACAGGGCAATAATTATTCTTTACCAGCTAAATGATAACATTTACCTCCAGCTTGCTGAGTGTTTTACTATATTCACAAATTATTGATAATGTGATTCTATGAATAGGATTTATTGTTTTAGAGTCAAAGGAAAATTTCCATGTTGATAGACTAAATAGTTTCATCTTATTTGTTCCTATATATTAGACTCTACCAACAAAAGTCTCTCAGAATAATATACATGGCAGCGTAAAAACAAAAATGTTTTGGCTTGTATCTGTTTAACAACCTGGTTATTTGTCCATGAACCTTTATTTGTTATTGACTTTTGATCAATTCAATTTCTGATATATACATTGCAAATTGTATTTATATTATAGCTGATTATGTTTTTATGTCTCCTTGTATAATTGATGGATATATAGATATTATTTATAATGTATAAAAGTATTATAGCATTTAATCAGCTCTACATCCTTAAGGAAATGAAAAGGTATGGTGTTTTACACAATATTATATTTTATAGTTCCAGTAATGCTAAAATTAAGAATAAATAATAAAGACTTGTGTATTCTGACTTAGTAATGCAATTATATTAGTTGTGTTACCTCCCCACGCCACTAGAGGCAGCATCAGGCCTGAAAAGATACAACTCAGGAGCAAATTTAGAAGAACACAGGAAGCTACAGAATCTGTTAAAACTGTGAGCTAAAGTGAATAAAGAGAGAAGTTCAAATACTGAGAGTGAAAATCCTTCTTAAAGGTGAAAATATATCAGATTTCACAGGAAAATAGAAACGAGAGACATGGATAATCTAGGAAATAGCGCCCCTTCACTTCCGGAGTGGAATGGTCCTGTTTCCATATAAGGTCTGAGACTGACAGCGGTCCGTCGCCCTTCCTGTTAGCTGCAGTGAGGTGTAGTTGCGTTCTTCCTGAAACATGGGAAAAGGCAGCTCGCTGCCGGCTGACAGATTATAGGAAAGAAAATATATAGTATGAGAATAAAGTGGTAAAAACAGTAGAAATAATTTCTGATAATAGAGTTGAATGTTTTTCTAATTTCTTCCTGATTGATGATGTAATGGCGTTCTTACGCGTTGCCTTTCCCGTTGTAGACCCACTTGGTGGATCCCAGACCCTCGTAGTCGGAGCCCAGTAGAAGAGACAGGCGTTGATGTGCAGCGAGTAGAGCAGGTAGGTGGAGGTCCGGATCACCCTGGGCAACGGGTTAGAGGTCAGATGTGGTTGGATGAGGTTGGATGAGGTTGGATGTGGGTGGATGTGGTTGGATGCGGTTGGATGCTGTTGGATGCGGTTGGATGTGGTTGGATGCGGGTGGATGCAGTTGGATGCGGGTGGATGTAGACGGGTGCGGTTGGATGTAGTTGGGTCCAGTTGGATGTGGATGGATCTAGTTGGATAAAGTTGGATGCAGTTGGATGTGGTTGGATGTAGATGGATGCGGTTGGATGTAGATGGATGTAGTTGGATGCGGTTGGATGCGGGTGGATGTGGTTGGATGCGGGTGGATGCAGTTGGATGCGGTTGGATGTAGTTGGAGGTAGATGGATGTAGTTGGATCCAGTTGGATGCGGTTGAATGTAGTTGGATGTGGTTGGATCTAGTTGGATAAAGTTGGATGCAGTTGGATGTGGTTGGATGTAGATGGATGCGGTTGGATGTAAATGGATGTAGATGGATGCGGTTGGATGTAGATGGATGTAGTTGGATATCATTGGATCCAGTTGGATGCGGTTGGATGTAGTTGGATGTGGTTGGATGTAGATGGATGTAGATGGATGCAGTTGGATGTAGATGGATGTAGTTGGATGTGGTTGGATGCGGGTGGATGCGGTACCCACCGGTAGATGTAGGCCTTCTTCATCACCGCCTCCATCCGGTCGTTGAACTCGAAGAACGCCATGTACTGGGAGAGAACAACCATCAGCTGCTTCCCCTGGTCATGTGAGCAAGAGCAGGAAGAGCCTGACCTTCAGCAGCCGCGGGAAGCGCAGCAGCGAGTTCACGCCGGTGAAGTAGTAAAGTATCTCCATGGGGAACAGGCTGATGATGTCCATCTGGGAACGAAAGGAACACGGGTCAGAACCAGAAGCGCTCCAGAATCCGGATCGTTTGCTGCTCTAGCAGAACGTTCTCACCTTGAACCGTTCGGTGGTCATGTAATGCTCTCTCATGTCCTTCTTGTCACACTGTCAGTAGAACCAGTGAAACCAGTTAGAGCCGTTCCTGCCGGTTGTACGCAGAAGGTCTCCTGTGTTTACGTACCACGATGTCTCCGCCGCGGACGAACTGCAGCCGCGGCTGGAAGACCAGGATGTCTGCGATGTAGATGAAGTCACAGGTGTAGTCGGCCAGCAGCCACAGGTGGATGTTGTCGGGAGTCTGGTAGGGGAACGCCCAGCGCACCGGGATCAGCCACACGTTCCAGTTCCACGCCGCCACCACGAAGAACAGCCAGATCACATAGATGATGTCTGCAGGACGGGGAGGCAAGAATTATGGGAAATCACCGGGAGAATGTGGTCGGTTCTGGGAGGAGAGCTCACCAGTGAACGGGTCGATGCTGGACGGAAAGCGGTACTCCAGGATGGACCGTAGCCAGTCGGGCATCGGGGGAAGTTTTGGGAGCTGGACCGGATGTCCCAGGAGTTCAAACTGGAACAGATCCGCTTCCTGCGGTGGTTCCAGTTCGTCCTTCTTCTCCTCTCCAGGCGGGGGCGGTGGAGGAGCCGGTGGAGCTTTGGCAGGAGCTGCAGAGATCAGGAGAGACGGTCAGGGTTCCGGTCCACTTTCACCAGGAGACCCAACTGAAAATCGCTGAGGGATCCCACTGGATCCAGGTAGCCAACTGGATCCTGTTCTCTTTGGGCAAGCCAATTGCATCCAGTGGTTGGCTCAGTGGATCCAGGTTTCCTGGATGAGGGGACCTGGATCGGGGCGACCTACAGGCAGTGGGGCTCTCCTCCTCGGACTCGTCAGGATCCACCAGGCGGTCTTTGTGTCGTTCCGTCCGGCCCTTGAAGAGCCCGACCAGCTGGTTGAGGCGCTCCTGGACCGTGACGCTGGCCACGCTGGCGGCGGACTGCGGCCGCATCCTGCGGGGAGAACGGACACGCTGAGGACGCTGATGGGGGAGGGCCATGCTGCGTCTGGGTCGGGGTCTCACTCGTCGTCTCCCGGACTGGACCGGGCCTTCAGCAGCTCCTCGTCCTCCTCGCCTGGCGTTGGGTCAGCTCTGCAGACAGCAGCACATCCAGAACCCTGTGAGCCATAAATCATCATAAATCATCTGCTGTCAGATTTATGATGATTTATGGCCCCAGAGTTTGAACCAACAGACTGATCTGGACTCTCCGTGTGATGAAGAGCCGCCAGCAACTTTCAGGGTCAAACAGAACCAACATGTTTCCAGAGCTCAGCAGCAATATCTGCAAATATTGTAACGATGTCTTTGGAGACACGATTCGTTTGCAGGCTGACGGCTTGGTTCTGACCCGTCTCTTCTTCTTCCACTCAGTAAAACTGAAATATTTTAGATTCAGATTTTCCCGCCTCTTTCTCTTTATGAAAGCCATTAATGTTGCCACCATTCCTTCCTTGTGTTTTCCAAAATTTAATGTTTTAATGCTCCTCCTGCCGGGTGGAAAGATGAACAGCGCCCCCTGCAGGCCTGCTGTTGTTACCTGAGCTGAGGCAACATCAGCCTGCTGGTCTCCGGTTCGGGGGTCGTGATTATCTGTGGGATGCTCCGGTTGAGTCGGTGCAGCTCGTCCGGGTCTGCAGCCTGCAGCATCAGCGCCGGAGCGTCGGTGTTCCTGCAGCTTCCTGAGGATCAGAGCAGAAGACGCGGCGCCAGGATGAGAAAACTGGAGCCGGGCTCTGGAGCCGGGCTCTGGGTCGAGCATCGACAGCAATCACCCAACTGAACACTTTTTAACCTCCGACTGGACTTACAGCCTGGAGTGAAATGACTGTAGTTAGGAAAGGATGACAATCACTCCAGATTTACTCAGATCTCACAATTTAATAAAACCGAGATTGCTTTAAAATAACTGAACAGAAAATGGTTTCATCAAAAGTTCGGGACTTCTCTGTGTTTCCAGAAGAATAATGAAATTTTGTTGAATTTATGAAATATTTACTGATGGCAACAGCTATTATTCAATAAATGTCAGATTTTAATTTAAGGTTATATGGCTATAGATGTTGATTTAATGACTTTGCCAGAAGTCAAAATCTGAAGGTCTGGGAAATCCAGCTTCAGTCTGTTGAGATTTATAGAAATGGGGTTTCAGATAGCTCCTCCCCCAGATCACATAACTCCTCCCCCAGATCACATATCTCCTCCCCAGATCACATAACTCCTCCCCCAGATCACATAACTCCTCCCCCAAATCACATAACTCCTCTCCCAAATCACATAACTCCTCCCCCAGATCACATAACTCCTCTCCCAAATCACATAACTCCTCTCCCAAATCACATAACTCCTCCCCCAGATCACATAACTCCTCTCCCAAATCACATAACTCCTCCCCAGACCACATAACTCCTCCCCCAGATCACATAACTCCTCCCCCAAATCACATAACTCCTCCCCCAGACCACATAACTCCTCCCCCAGATCACATAACTCCTCCCCCAGATCACATAACTCCTCCCCCAAATTACATAACTCCTCCCCCAGATCACATAACTCCTCCCCCAGATCACATAACTCCTCCCCCAAATCACATAACTCCTCCCCCAAATCACACAGCTCTTCGATAATTTGTTTTACTTGTGAATTAGATTAGCTATCTAACCTTTTAAGTTAGAGTACAGGATTGCTAAGAAAACCTTTTAATGGCTCAGCTTCACATTTTTAACCATTGATCACTTTCTATGCAGATGATACTGATGTTATTTAAAAACTCCCTATACTTTCACTTGAATATATTTATATATTAATTTTTTTTTTTATTAATGGGATTAGCTCTATTTTCTAATTAATGAAGACCACAACAGTAACTAAGTCTTTGCCCATTTGAACATGTTTCAGATTGTGGGTAATATTCACAAACTCCTGATATCTGTTAAAATAAAAACAATGTGGTTTGTTTTTGTAGTGAGTTTTTTGCCGTTAATGTAAAAAACGTCTGATAAGGAAACTGTCTGGGATTCTTTTGAGTCAAATACTCTGGAGCTAAACTTTTTAAATTCTTTCTCGGATCCAGAGAAAATGATTTAGAAAAACTTAACCTAAGATCTTCTGTTGATTCCTGCCAACTGAATTCCGTTTCTGTCCAGAATCGCTAACAAAAATATAACATAACTTTACGTTCTAACCATTTGATCACGCTCTATGCAGATGACACTGATGTCAGTTCAAAACTCCCTACCATCTCATTTCAGGATCAAAGCAAATTTTCAAAACAAGGAATCCCGACCCGCTGAATCAGAGGAGGATGCAGAATTTGTTTTTGAGACATCAAGGTGCCTGCCGTGTTTTCCAGGAGCGTTGCTTCAGACGGCTGATCCAGATCCATCTCCTGTTGGAAATGTTTTTAGCATCATGAAGAGGAGCTGCTCTGTTCTGGTGAATCAATCCATGAGCTCACAGCTGCAGAGTGCTCTGAGGAGTTCAGCCAATTATCAGTTGATGTATTGAAATCCGTTCAGATTTGGAGAAAATATCAACAGATATTTGCTGGAAGAAGCCACTTGGAGCCCAACTTTGGATGTTCCTGTGGAGAACGTCAGCATGACAGAACCTAAACTTTGCTTCCCTACAGAAATTCTGTGAAGTGACTTCACCTTCAAGTCCAAATCTGCTGAACCTCCTGAGAGTTTTTCTGTCACCTTTTATTTGTTTCAGGAGTTGTGTTTGTATTTTTCTATCTACATCAATTAAAACCTGGATTTTCAGTTTTAGGACCGAAACATGGCAGAAGAATCCTGCTGGCTGAAGATGAGCTGATAAACTCACATCCAGTCTGATGATGAAGAAAGTTTCAAACCTCCTGGGGTCTAAAACAGCAGGAGGCGCCAGATTGAGCAGCATTTAGATTCTTTATGGTTCATCCTGAAACAGCTGCTCTGATTTACTGAGGTTTAACACAACAGAAAATAACTTTATATTGAGTTCATAAACATTCCAGAGAGAAATGAAACAAACACAGCCGACGTGACGCGTTTCTCTTCATAACAGCATCAAAGGCAGCCTGATCCCATGGGTTCAAAACTTTTATTGGTCAAACAGAAAAAGGAGCAGAAACTCTGAGGTGACAATCGGACAGCCAGGTAACAGTGAGTGTGAAACATTTCAACAGAGACCTGAAGTAGCTGTACAGGCTCCGCCCACCGGCAGTAGGCTCCGCCCTCTTCTGGGAGACGCAGCAGCAGAATGCTAACCGTTGCAGCTCCATGCAGAAGCTGCTCTGAGGTTTAGAAAACTCTGGATTTGTAGTTGAACATTTCGGACTGAACTCAGGTCATCCTTGGTGTTTCAGCTCCTTTTCTGTCTGCTTCATTGCAGGGGAAAAGCATGCGGTGACTGTGGGAATAAAAGACCGGTGGCCCATGAGCAGCAGATGGTAGCAGAGCTGGAAAAGCTGCTCTGTCTTTGTTTCCTATTAAGTAGATCAGGTTTGCTTTGTTTCCATAGCAACAGATCTGAGACACCTGCTCTATGTTTTCAGCAATCAAGGTTAACTTTATGAAGAAATTATTATTGTCTAATTTATAAGTCAGTTCCTGCAGGATTCTGTGATCAATTCTGTGATTTTTTGCAATAAAATAAAGAATAAAGGAGCAAATAATTTTTTGTGATATCTTTAATGTGATAAAACAATCTGTTCATTTACATGGAGAACAGAGACGCTACTTTTTACTCGCTGCATCAATCAAGGATGATAAACTGACATCAAGTCAGGCTGAGGCAGCAGAAGTAAGAAATACTGCCACCTGCAGGTGGGACTTGGCTTCACTTTTTGTGGAAAATTTGCAATAAATTCAGTTCTGCATTAGTGGGAAAAACGTGAGGATCTGTTGATCAAGAGTGAATGTCAGTGAAGCTGAAGGAAGTGAACTGGGTCGAGGTTTGGTCGGGTTCTGCTGCAGCCTGAAGATCCAGTTTAAATGTTGCTCTTTGCTGAGATGTTACCATGCTGGTTCTTCTGTTCAAGTGAAACCAGAACCAGAACTCTGCAGCAGATTATTGGGTCCACTAGTTTCCAGCTGTTTCTAACTTTATTTTGCAATTTTAGAAAATAATTTTTGCTGATTTTTAAAATACTTGCTGGTTTAGGTTGACATTTTAAACCTAGATTTTTAATTATTTGTGTGTTTGATGCTAATGAAGCGACAAATAATTAGGTTCTATCAGTTTCATCTCAGAGAGCCACAGGAAGCAGGAAAGAGGTCACTTCCTGTTCAGTCTGTCCACCTGAGGTTAAATGGCCACCAGAGGGAGCTGCATGCTGCAGAGGAGGAGCAGCTTTATTTGGCACTTTCCAGGCTGGAGCTACAGATGGAGGGTCTATCAGGTGTCTGGGGGGCGCCGCTGCAGGACGGAGAGCTTAAGGCTGCTCAGGAAGCCGAGGAGAGCAAAGCGACTAGCCATGCTGCTGCAGTGCTGCTGTGCCTGCTTCTGGAGCTGCGACAGGTGCTGGGCCAGCTCTGGGTGGAGTCTCGGCATGGACAGCGTGGGGGGCGTCAGGTCGTGCTCCTGCAGCAGTGTCCTGCAGCGCTCCACGCACTCTGCAGCAAGCGGGAACCGAAGCAGGAAGCTCTTTATGGGAAAACAGACGCTGGGAGCTGCATGGAGAAACATCAGTGAGAAAACTCACAACTGGAACTGATCAACATTTATCGTCCAGAGAGGAAAACCACCGGCAGCACTGGCACAGACTGAGCTAGCACCCACTGAGCTAACATCGACTGTGCTAACACAGACTGAGCTAGCACCCACTGAGCTAGCACCCACTGAGCTAACACCGACTGTGCTAACACCGACTGAGCTAACACCGACTGAGCTAACACCGACTGAGCTAACATCGACTGTGCTAACACCGACTGAGCTAACACCGACTGAGCTAACATCGACTGAGCTAACACGGACTGTTAACGCAGATGGAACTAGCCTGGAGAGAACTAGCATGTCCAAAGCTAATGAGCTAGCCTGAGTAGATTATTGGTGTTTGAGTCAAAGAGTTTCCTGTCTCTCACCTCCAGATCCTCCTGCCTCTTCTTCTGCTGCTGCTGCTTCACTCTGAGCAGAGGAAAAACATGGACACAAGAATCTGCTCAGATGGTCGAGTCAAATAATCCCAGTTTCATGGGGAAGAGATTGTGAAAATATGAAATGCTTTTCACATGCCGCATCGCAGCTCAACCAATGTAGAAATGTTACCTGAATAAACATGTCTGTGCTTCATAACAGGCTATAAAAGTTTTATGTTTTCTTGTGTGTCTCTTACAGTCCACCGTTTGGTTTGGTACGTTTAGAAAATTACTGACACATCTAAACAAACATTGTTTTTTTTTCATTCAGGGAATCTGATTGGCTCATTAGGACAAACCGTTCACCAGGTCACAGGTCAGATGTGATCCTGATGTTCGTGGAAAGTCACCTGCTCTGCATGGTGGGTAGGGGCCTCTTCAAGGTGTGGTTCTGGTTGTTGGGTTATGGGACTCTCCAGATCTCTCCTCTCTGACGCCGGCTCCACATCCGTGGACGAAGGAGTCACCTGGTCTGCTGGCTCAGGTGCAGTGGGCGGGGCCAGGGCCTCCACCTGCTTTTCTTCAGCTGCAGCTTCAGGATCGTCTTCAGCTGGGCGGATGTCCAGCAGACACCTGAGAAGAGACGAGTGAATGAAAAGAGACGGAGGAGATGTGAGGCTGAGACCAAACTGGAACATTTAACATCTCCAGCTGCTTCCTCTCTGCTCTGAAACAAACCAGCCTGTTCCCCTCCTGGCCTGTGGGGGCGCTGCACCAAGAACCAGAGAAGGAAACAACACTAAAAACGCTGAAGACACTGAGAGCTACTTCCTGTTTCACCAGATGGAAACAAGATGGAGGCGTCAGAGTTTAGTGCTGGAGGATTTCTCTTTAGTCTTTGGCTGAAGACCAGGAGCCATTTCAGCTGCTAGCGCTAAGCTAGCATGTTAGTTTTGGTTGTTTTTACCCAGAATGCCCTGTGCTGTAGTCCACTTCCTACTTTTGGAGCAACTCAGACTGAAGTTTGGAGGAACAGAGGTCAAAGGTCAATTAGCATTCACATCAACTGGACTGGACTTTAAAGGCAAATGGACTGGAGTTGGACTAAAGCAGACTGAACAGAAGTTGGAAAACTTCCGATTCCTCCCAACACAGAACGTTTTGACCATCTAGTCGACATCTGGTTCATGACCACGCATGGCGGTTGGATGATCATGCATCCAACCACCATAGTGGCACCAGCAGGCCTGGTCTAGTCTTTGCACCCTAGGCAATGACTTGAAGGGCTTCGGTGTTCATGAGGGTCAGAATGAATAATTTTCAACTGAATCCATCAAACTAACATCTGGTCAAGTTAAAAGGTCCAACCCACCTCTTCAGCTCAGTCCTGAATGGCAGAGAAAAAGTTCCAGAAAGTAAGACAGTAGAGTTAGAGCAGGGAGAAGACCTTCAGAAAACTAAAAACTAACCACTGATCCAACCAACCAACCACTGATCCAACCAAACATCCAACCAACCAACCACTGATCCAACCAAACATCCAACCAACCAACCACTGATCCAACCAAACATCCAACCAACCACTGATCCAACCAAACATCCAACCAACCAACTACTGATCCAACCAAACATCCAACCAACCAACCAAACATCCAACCAACCACTGATCCAACCAAACATCCAACCAACCAACCACTGATCCAACCAAACATCCAACCAACCAACCAAACATCCAACCAACCACTGATCCAACCAAACATCCAACCAACCAACCACTGATCCAACCAAACATCCAACCAACCACTGATCCAACCAACCAACCAACCAAACATCCAACCAACCAACCAACCACTGATCCAACCAAACATCCAACCAACCAACCAACCAACCAACCAAACATCCAACCAACCAACCACTGATCCAACCAAACATCCAACCAACCAACCACTGATCCAACCAACCAACCAACCAACCAACCAAACATCCAACCAACCAACCAACCACTGATCCAACCAACCACTGATCCAACCAAACATCCAACCAACCAACCACTGATCCAACCAACCAACCAACCAACCAACCAAACATCCAACCAACCAACCAACCACTGATCCAACCAAACATCCAACCAACCAACCAACCAACCAACCAAACATCCAACCAACCACTGATCCAACCAAACATCCAACCAACCAACCACTGATCCAACCAACCAACCAACCAACCAACCAACCAACCAACCAACCAAACATCCAACCAACCAACCAACCACTGATCCAACCAAACATCCAACCAACCAACCACTGATCCAACCAAACATCCAACCAACCAACCACTGATCCAACCAACCAACCAACCAACCAAACATCCAACCAACCAACCAACCACTGATCCAACCAAATATCCAACAGACCAACCAACCAACCAAAACATCCAACCAACCAACCACTGATCCAACCAAACATCCAACCAACCAACCACTGATCCAACCAACCAACCAACCAACCAACCAACCAAACATCCAACCAACCAACCAACTGATCCAACCAAACATCCAACCAACCACTGATCCAACCAACCAACCAACCAACCAACCAACCAACCATCCATCCATCCAGCTGTAGTGCTAGGTCAGTATGAACCTGACGCGTTATTCAACTAAGCATTTCTTTCTATTTTTGGAACAAGCCAGGTGTGTAGTGGCGTGACTGGTGGTTAAGCTCCGCCCACAAAACGTGCTAGCTGAGCTGAAGCTAGCAGAGCCTTGCTGATCCATCATGGCTGAACTTACTGCTCTGTCTGCTTCTCCTCACTCGGTTTGCCTTTATTTTCTGTGCTGTCCTCACTGTCGTCCTGCAGGTTCTCCAGCCTGAACGGGCAGAAGAGCAGAGAGCTGCTGGGAAACCCAACATCTGGAACATCTGGAGTTTAAGGAACAGCTGGAGCCTCCAGGTGGGCCGGAGGAATCGGCTCAGAGCTTCTGAAACAAACTCAGCTCAGCAGAATTGTTCTGGTGGCTCCCAGCAGAGTCCAAACTAAATACAAACTAAATGTTCTGGTTGGAAAATGGATCGGGTTTCTGTTAGTACCCATCACAGCCCGGTCCCGACCCATTCCCTCCCTCCTTCATGTTGGAGGTTAAAGGTCACAGTATGTCCCACATCTGCCCTTTCGCCAAGTCTGCGTTTTAACAAGTACAAAGTGCATTACCCACAATTCATTGCTGCATGTGACATTCTGAGTTAAAAGGCGGATTTATGGAAATGTTCTGTTGTTTTTCCGTTTTCATAGAAAATATCGTGACAAGGCACATTAGTAATAAAAAGGTTGATTTGATAAACTAAGCAGAAAAAGAAGAAATAAAAAGAATAAATACAAACTGACTGAGAAAAAGAAAAGAAAATGTCACAAATCCAAGACAAATTTCAAATTTTAGATATGAATATGTTTGAATAAAGATTGGGCTTTTGTGATTTTATTTAAGCACTCTCTAAAATAAAATGATTTCACTTTAAAATGGAGGTGATTTTTAGAAAGCAGCAATAAATATATGATAATTTATCTCTTCATCTCCTGTTAGAAGATCAAATTTTATTATATTAAAACTTGAAGATGGAAGAGATTTACTGTGTAATATCCACTTTTTAAAATATTTCTAAAAACATTAATGAAACTGCAATTTAAAAATGTATTATTGTTTCAAATTCTCAGTCGCAAACACAGGAACTGATATTTATTTTGAATTTGTTTTTGCAGAAAGTCATTGTAGGGAAAACTTTATATAAGATGATGAAATTAATATCTTAGGTTTGTTGTGGGAGTGGACTTATTTAACTGTGTGTGTCACTTTAAGAGCTCAGGGAGCCGTCACTCTGATTGGTTCGTTTGTTATCTCAAGCTGCCATTACTTGTTGAAAGAGCCGTCCAGAGCTGTTGTTCCAGAGATTGGGAGTGTGTAAATGAATAAAAGTAAGTTAAATCATTATTTTAGCAAGATTTGTTTCCCTATGCACCTTAAATATATACAATATGGCGGTTTAAAGAGTTAAGGTTATGATAATGTGATTTGTTGTCTCTTGCTGTCATCTGCTGGACAAATTGATAATAGTCGTTTGTGGTGAGTGAAAATAATAGCTTTCATTTGTTTGTTTTCTGTATTTTTGTTTTTGTACTTTTTGTAGACCTCTCAGCTCTATTAAAGAAAACCAAGACCTGAAACTTTCTTATCATTAAATGGCTGTTCCATTTAAACAACAAGGGAGCACAACAGTCATGATTTTGTCCTGAACTTGACCTCTGACCTCTGATATTATCTTCACTTTATACGAAACTAACTTTTGTAAAACAGATGGTTTTATGGGTAAAAATTATGTCAATAGAGACATAATAAGTAGACTGATTAATTATCAGTACATTTTAATGTGTATTTTTTGCCACCTTGGAAATATGAAATAAGTTCACAGTGTGATCTGTGTGTCACAAAAATAGAATCAAATCAGTTTTCAAAAGTAAAATATTGAAATAATTGTTGTTTCTCTGAACATGAGGGACTATATTGAGTTTTAACCAAACTAATTTCCAGCAGAAATATCTTTTCTGTACATTTAAAATAATCTGTTTTGTGCTTTTTAGCAGCAGGATGCCTGAACAGGGACCTGTCCGCCATTTTGGATGTGATGTTAGGACCCAGGCCATTCTGTCCTGACCCCTGACCCCTGACCGTGTCCACGCTCTGAGGGGCAGGGCGCTGAGCTCTGGACCGGGCCTGATGGCGACGCATCGGTTCTACAGGAAACGGATCAGTGGAAGGAAACCAGCAGGTCCAGTCTGGTTCAGCAGACAGAACCGGGTTGGACCTGCTGAGCCTCAAACTGAGCCAACCAGGATTAAAGCTCCAGAACCGCCCAGAACCCGTCCAGAGCGGGTCAGCGGTGACTCACTCCGGTTCGTCCTCGTTCTCCTCCTCCAGGATGTTGGGCAGCCTGCAGACACACAGAGACTGGGGTCAGAACCGGGTTCTGCCTCTGGCCCGGTTTTGGTTCCAGACTCACTGGTCGTTGGACTCCGGCAGCGTTTCTATGACGATCTTGGCCGAACGCTCCACCTCCAGCTGCCGGACCGCCTCCGCCGCCGCCTGCCGGGCCATCTCCTCGGCAACGCGGGCCGCCTCCAGCCGCTGCAGCCTGACAGGAGAGCCGGTCAGAACCGGGACTGGACCGGTTCTGATGAGGAAGACGAGCAGCTGACCTTTCCTCCATGTGAGCGCCGTCGCCGGCTTCCTTCTTCACGCCGTCCGCCGCAGTCGGCGGCTCCGCCGCGTCCGCCTGCAACAGATCGATCGATCGGACGCGTCACGCCTGCTGGGATCACGTTTTAAATCATCGCTGTGAAATCATTCAAATGGAAAAATTTGGAAAGCGACGAAGTTTGTGACTTTTCCAAAAAGGATTCCAGTGGAGGCGAGAGGAAGCGACGCCTCCATCCTGGTGGCTCGGACCAGAGGAGCAGCCTGGTTTTCCCTCTGGCCGGATCAAACCGCCAGGCTGGATGGAAACGCCCGATTCACTTTTCTTGTTTGCCAGACTTTGAAGTTTTGCTCAAATGTTGCAGGACAGTTGGATGGAAACGTGAGTCACATGCTGAGTTTCCAAATCTTTTCTATTCTCTGCTAATGTTGGAAACTCTGTGTTGAAATTTCCGTGTTTCTGTGAATTAACTTTCATAATTTGTGAAATCGTGTGATTGATGGAAACACGGCGGCAGTCAGTGGGACGGGAAACCGACCGACTGGTTCCAGTTCAGGTGCAGAAACTCACCTCCTTCACCTCCTGCTGCTGCGCCTCCTGCTGCGGCTCCTGCTGCTGCTGCGCCTCCTCCAGATCCTCCAGCACCAAGTCACTCGTCTTCTGAGCGCCACTGACTGACAGGCAGGAAGAATCAGTCACTATGGATCCCACTGGATCAACTGGATCCCTCCCACCTGAGGATCTGCTGTGGTCTGGATGACGACACGGTCTGGCTGGATCACGCAGCCAGACTGCGATCCAGAACGTTTCTGGAAATGCTAAAGTCGTCCAGATGATCTGATCGATCAGGAAGCGTTTGACCGGATCGTCGCCAGATCCTCTGATCTGAGGTGATCCCTTCAGATCGTCTTCAATGATCTGAAGACCAAGGAGGATCTGAACTCTCAGGTGGTTTTGGTTCGAACTGAACTCGTTATGCAGATGATGTTAAAGAAGATTCATTGATCAGAATCGATTTTTGGGTTATGGCCTGGAGGAGTTTCCCATCTGACTGAAGAGGTTCGGCTCAACTGATTGATTAAACTGATCAATTGGTTTGATAATTATTTGGCTGATTGACTGAAAAACTGACCCAGTCTCTGTTTTCCAGATGAAACCTTGACGTTTCTAAAATGTCTGAAGTTACAGATTGATTGATTTGCTGATTGATCGGTTGGTTTATTGGTTGGTTAATGGACTGACTGATCTCTGTGTTGGACCAAAAACACTCAAGGCGTTCTAGTTTTTTCCAGATCAAATCTTTATTTCCTGCATCGCTTGCGGTGAATTTGCTGCTGAAGTGGAGAACTGAAGATCCAGAGCTCCCAGTATGAAGCGGTCCCAAACTGGACTGAAACCAGTTCCTCTACAGAGCCCCTGCTGCCAGTCCTAACCGATCCTGCTGAGGAACATCGGGCTGAACCTCTGTAAAGTCACACAGTCCTGGTTCTGAACACAGAGTCCTTCTCTTCAGGCAGGTGAAGCTGAAGCTCGTTAAGCTCGTTAAGCTCCAAAGCAGCGAAAGCTTCCTGTGAGCTACAGGACTGATGGCGTCAGTCTGCCAGAAGTGTGCTGCTGTCAGTGAGAGCGACTCTGTCCTGCTGCTGCTCCTTTTATTTTAGGGGCTCAGGCGACTTCCCCCCTGAAACAGAAGGAGAAGAGCAGCGCCGTTAGAGTCCGTCTCACCTCTGACAGAAGGACACTGACCGACTGACCGACCAAACAGCTGTTCTATTCATGACTTTTAACAGCCTCAGACTGACGACAGACACCTGTTCAGGTGTTCATATCAGTCCATGTGCAGGTGACAGTTTCCCTGGAAACACAGGAGTATTTCTGAGGATGGCAGGAGGTTCAGATCTCTGCGTTCCAGGATGGATCTCATGTAAACCAGACAAACAAAGTCCAACAGAAAGCAGGTCTGACACAGAGCCGTAACGCTGTGCTGTCCTGCCTGCAGGCACAACTCAGGGTTTACTTGACCCGTTTCAGCTGGTGGTTTCAGGAAACCGGACCGCATGATCAGAACTAAAGGTCCAAACGGTGGGCAGAGGGGTCAGGGAGCTAAAGGATGTACTTACTGTTCCGCATGTCATCACTTCCTGTTTCCTGCAAGAAGGAGACAATTCAGAGCCTCAGTGAAGGTCAGCTGACCCCGATTGGATGTATGGCAAGTTTAAAGAGACGGCGCGCTCACCGGCCTGGGGACGGGCTGCGGCAGCATGCGGCCGATTCCACTGACGATCCAACCCACCATGCTGCAAGGCAACAGTTCAAAGGTCAGCTGGAGTGAGTGAGTCCGTCCGTCCGTCCGTCCGATTTCTCTCCAAAGATCTTTAGGTTTAAACAACAAATCTGTAAATATTTCCACCTACTTTGGCTGCTGCTCTGCTTCCTTTGCAGATCTGAAGGAATGAAAGAAAAGCAGAAGGTAAGAAATAAAATCCTTCCCTGTTACTTTATGTCTTTAGATAAAGTAAATGTCTCAGAAACATCTACCAGCATTGTGCTTGTTGTCATCAGCAGTTCCTTCAATTTTTCACACAAAATCATCAGATCCCCACATTTTTTCTTGTCCATGCACAATTAAAAGTTTATAACAAATTGTCTACAAAAATAATCAAAAACGTTAAGCTTAAGTGATGTTAACTCCTCCTGCAGGTGGCAGCGTTTCTTACTTCATGTCAAGTTATCGTCAGTGATCCATGTGGCAAGTAAAGAAAATTTGTTATTTAAGAACAAAAATGTTTCATCTCTTATTGTTTCTCATCTTTTTTCTTGTATATGTATATTTTTGGAGGTTTAATGAGAAATAAATCTAGCAAAATAAAATAAGGGATTTTAATTGCAAGAAATTTAAAACACAATCGTGAAATCCTAGAATATGAGTTATCTGCTGAAAATACTAATCAAACATCCAGATGTAAAGCCGACTAATAGGGGGAAAACAAAAACTTTGAGAGGAAAAAAATCCTGGAAAATCTGTTTCTGGTGGTTGAATCCAACACGACTCACTCCGTCTCTGACGTGGGTCTGGTGGTCGTTGGAGGAACTGCAGGGGGCGCTGTGGCGTTCCAAAGGAAGCACAATATTTCAGTACAGCTCATCTTCCTGTGAGCAGCAGCCATCATCACAACCAGGACTAACCTTTGGATGGAGCTTCAGACTTGGTGGTTCCTTCGGTCTTTGGGAGGCTCTCCGGCTGAGGAACCACCTTCACGATGCCGTGTTTGATCCAGTCCATCATGCTGGGAGAAAAACACGTCGCACAGAACAACATTTACAGGATCAGTAGGTCAGTTCTGACATAAAGATCCACTGCTGAGAAACAGTCAGGCAACCAACCAGTGAACAACAGCAGCAGAACCAGCCAGCAACAAAATCAACCAACAAGTCAATCAAAGAATCAGCTAGCCAATAAACCAACCAACTCGAGCAATTACCAGATGAACCAATTAACCAAACTATTCAAAAGTAACTAACCAACTAACAACTTAACCAAATAATTACCAAAACCAGCCAAAAACAAGAACTCAGCCAAGCAGTTGTGATGCTGACGCTGACCTGGGTGGAGCGGTCTGGTCCCCCGCCGCCTGCTCCTTCCCGCCACTCTGAGCTTCTGCAGGTCAAACATGGCAATGTGTTGCAACATCAGCTTCCAGCTGCAGGAATACTGCCACATGTGTTGATGCTCACCTGCTGGAGCTGCTGCTTGCTGCACCTGAGCAGGAGCAAAATCAGGTGAGAAACTCACAAAACCACCAGCAGGTGAAATAACAGAAATCTGCAGCTGCTGGTTTCCTTCCCTGAAACTTCCTGGTGATTTTAGCCACAAACCACTGATAGAAATATTGTGTTTGGTTTCTCTGTCTCAGATTGCTGCGGTGATGACCTGAAGTGTTGGAGTCTCAGTTCTCTGACCAGTAAAGAGTCCAACCACCATGAAATGCATCACAGCTGGCAGTTGGTCTGGCTGGTTGGTAACGTTACCAGCCAAGAACTAACAGAATTAGAGGAAAACATGACTTTTTCAAAGTCATGTTTTCACCAAATTGTTCACTCATTTCTGAATGCCACAGGTTCAAACTAAATGTTTGGCTTCAAGATGAAGATTTAGTTCAGTTAAATCTTTCCAGCAGCAGTTAGCCAGCTGGATACTGAGACGCTAACTAAATATTTGATTATATACGTTTTGGCTTGTAAAGTAAATATGTAGGCTCAAACCTAATATTCAGTTTACAAGCTGAATATGTGTGGCTCCAAATAAAACATTTAGCTTGAGGCAAATTAAATGTTTAGTTTAAAAATGATATTTATAATTAAGGACAATGTGCTGAAATGACTGAAACATTAACCTCCATTTTCTCCTCTCATGACAGGTTCAATGAAAAACTAAATATTATTTGTTGCTGTTAATAAATAATAGTGTGCATCATGTCTCAAGTCGTGTCCGGTTCTCGGCACTGAACACGTCATCGGTGACGGCAGACAGGGAAACCTGGGCGCACCTGAAGCTGCTGCTCGGCCGCCGTAGACTCTCTGCTCCTCGGTTCGGGCTGAGGAACAACTTTCTCCAAACCCTGAGAGATCCAGGCCATCATCCCTTTCCTGTGGAGGACACCAGGGTCAAACTGGACACCAGGGGGTGCCAAAGATCCAGCTAGGTCACTATCTGGCATCCTGGCAGCTACTGACGGTTAAAGCAGCTCAGTATTTGGCAGGTTACTCACTCATCGTCGGGCTTGCTGAGGGACAGAACAGAAAACGTCATCACATCGGCATCTCCTACCTTTAATTCACTTCCTGTTTCTAACTGATTCAGAACACGTGGAGCCCAGACTAACAGCCAAACTCTCTGTGCTTTATTCTGGTTCTGTGACCCAAAACCCAACACAGTAATGTTCAGATTTATGGATCTCTGACCCGGTTCACACTGGGCTGCGTTTACCTGGCTGCTGCTGCTGCTGCTTCCTCCTGAGGAAGAGAGGAAACAGAAACATCAGGAGACGATCTGGATCAAAACACCGCCGTTCTTCAGAGATTACAGAACCTGATCCGGTTAGCATTTCCTCCAGAACCCAATCCTAGCTCTGAGTTTTATTCATAAACTGATCCCGGTTCAGCAGAACCTGAACCTGGGTCAGTGTTTTCTACAGAACCGGTCACAGGTCCAACGTCTGGTCCTCACCTTGGCGGCGGAGTTGGCCCGGCTCTGGTTGGCCGGAGGCGCCGGCAGAGGGAGAGTGCTGCTGATCCAGGTCAGCATGCCTGGACCCGGACTGAAGACGGGAAACACCAGAATCAGAACCAAGACAATAAACCACTTCGTGTCTTCAGCTATTCTTCCCCAGATGGGTTCCTCTGGGGAAGCGGACCCGTCCGGACTCACCCGTTCCCCGCAGGCGCCTCAACTTCCTGATTCAGTTTGTCAGTTTTTGCAGCTGTTGAGCAAACAGAAAAAAAGTTTAGTGGACAGAAGAAAACTGAGTCAATTTCAATGACAATCTTACCATCCTTCTTGCACTCATCTTCAAACGTGACCTTCTCCTGTTCAAAACACAAAACGGCTTTAAAAGGGAAGCCATGTTCCTCCTCCTGCTCAATGTCTGAGTTCAAAAACTCTGGAAAACCAGCGAGTTGGAAAAACAACGAGTCTGCGAAACTACTGATTCCTAGTCATTACTAAGATGCTTCAAACATTCTGGAGACAGATTATTATCATCACTAAATGCTTCATAAATGTGAAACAAATTTCCAGAGTATGGAGAGAAACATGTGATCATGGGGGGCGTGGCTTACTGGTGCAGGGGGGGGGCCACTTCTGGTTTTCCTTCCTTGGCATCTTCAGTGTTTTTGGATGGAAGTTCAGGCGGCTGGGGGACGACTTTAACCACCCAGCTCAACATCCTGGAAGAGACGGACAGCCGTCACCCGACCGATACGAGTCGATAGAAGATCTGGTAACTTGTTCATCGACACGCGGTGAACAACACGCCACAGACGAAAGTCTCGGGGTGAAACCCAGGAAGCGACAGAGATCGTTTATGTCGCTCCGCTAACACGTCTGAATGATTAGCTTGAAGTTTCACATGCATGAATTTGTCCGGTCACTTGGGTGTCGCCTGAACAAGCGAGAGTCAGAGGCAGAGACGTTGCCTCCTGTGTGGAGCTGTCGACTCTGGACCAGAGGTAATGTTCACCCGTATGGGTCTCAAACTGTGGCTGTTGAAAGACCTGGTGTCCCATATGGGTCTCAGTCTCTTGACCAGAGGAAACGTCGAGCCGTATGGCTCTCTAAATGTTGGTTGCCGTGGAGTCGGTGTCTTCAATACCTCTCTAGCTCTGGTTTTCATGGGACTCGGGGTCCTGTATGGGTCCCAGGCTCTGGCCTCAGGAGTCTTGCACGTTTTAGACATTCCTCTGAAAAGAAAGATGGTTCTGTTGTTGGTTCTGACGGGGACAGTGATGAATCCCGTTGGGATCCAGTTCAGCGAGTAACTCCACTGGAAGTGAGTCCAGATCCAGAAACAGATGGAAACTGAATAATTAGCTTGATCTCCTCCAGGCTTCTCCGTTCTGTGCTTAATGGTGTTTGGATCTCGTTCAGCTGAGTGTCAGATCCAATCAGAACTGACTGGTCTCGACCCTAATCCTCCCCAGGAGGCCACTGGACACCAATACAAACATTAAACTGGTGCCCAGTTTGTCACTTTCACTCCCCAGTGTGTTATCCGTTTAGCCGGCCGTGAAGTTGGCTGCCTTGAGTCTTTCTGTTCACTGGGTCATTGTGGGTCGACATACAACCTGTGACTCGATTCGGTTCTGAGCTGGTCCAGAACTGAACGGGGCAGTCAGAGAGAAGTGGTCAGTCGCTGTTTACCCACTCAGTCGGTAGGTTGGTCAACAAACAGCCGATTAATCGGCTCCAAGTGAGTTTTGTAAGAGGCTTGTGACTCGGTCACAAGCCTGAAACTAAACAGCCAGGAGGCAAAAGGCTGGGGAAAGGACGTTTCCAGCAGTGGTTCCCACCCTGGTTCTCTGGAAACCCATCCTGTTAACAACCATTCATTTAGTCCAGGTGTGTGGCAGCCAGGAGAACCTAAGACATGAAGTACAGTTGGTCCTGGGGACCAGGGCTGGCAACCACTTCTTCAGAGGAGAAGGTCTGGTCTTCGGAGGGTTTTCAGGAGTAGATCAGAGGGTTGGAGAGTCTAGAGGAGGACGTTTGCCCTTTGGGGGTCTAGAGGAGTAGGTCTAATGGTTGGGATGGACTTTGGGATGTGTAGGATAGGTCTGGCAGTTGGGTGAGGTCTAGAGTACGTTTGGTGGTTGGGTTGGTATTTGGGGTGCAGGTCAGATCTTTAGGGTATCCAGTCCTACCTGAACAGTTCAGTTGGGTCCCAGCAACATCCCACAGAGCCGCGGTAAGGAAAGACTTTCAGAATGTGAGCGCAGTGGGAGGATTACAGAGCTAACAGGATTACAGAGCAGCTGAAGGACAGAACCGGACAGAGCAGGGGCTCAGATTACACCTTAAGAGGCCAGGAACAGGGCACATCGCCCAGAGCTGGAGCCCCATCCAGAGAACAACAGAGTTCAGTTAAAATCAGACAGGTGTCAAATCGGTTTGCTACCCATTCAAAAACTTCAAACACTATAAATTCTCTAAAGTTTCTGACCCAGTTTCTAAAGTCTGAGTGACTCTGGAGAGGTAGGAGATTCCTTCTCTAAGACTCTGTCCTTCAGGCTGGAAACCATCCTGCCTGATAGATAGTTGCATCTATCAATAATTAAACAGAGTTTAGATTCAGATGATGCAATGAAGGTCTGGACCTGCTGGTTCTCCAGCCAGAACCTGGCCTCGGCTCTCAGAAACAAGGTTGGACTTTTGTAATTTGTTCATTTAATGATGAATCTTCTTCAGACCGTCTGTGGAGTACCACAGGGCAGTGTGCTCAGACCAGTTCTCTAATCTGCCTCCAATTGGTAAAATGACCAGGCAGCAGGGGATAAACGTTCAGTGTTATGCTGATGATGTTCAGTTGCATCTATCCATAAACCTGGTGAATCTAATCCAGCAGGTGAACCTGGATGACTCCAAACTTTCTGCTTTTAAATTCTGATAAAACAGAAGTTGTTGTTTTAGGACCAGATCCTCCTGTCTCAAACACGGTTTCACTCTAAAACTTGCCGTACGAACAAATTTAGAAAAGTGCAGCTGCTGCTCCGCCGTCGCCTCCCAAAAACATCTTAATGAGTATAAATACCCGGAGGTCTTATGGATCTAAATGTCTAAACGTTTATCCTGAACACAGGAAGCAGAGCAGAAGGTACATTTACAGGGTAGAGATGCTTTCTGTCCACAAGGCGGGCCAGCTGGACCGGAACCGGTACCTGCTTCAAGTTCTGCTCACAGCTCCAGGATGATCAGTCTGGATTCATCTAAATAAACCAGCAGATCAATACGATCTCTGATCAATGGCTCCATGTTCTCCATCAGAGCCACAGATCCTCAGGTAGCAGCTCACCTTGATGCAGCTGCTGATGCAGCTGCTGATGCAGCTACTGATGCAGCTGCTGATGCAGCTACTGATGCAGCTCACCTTGATGCAGCTACTGATGCAGCTCACCTTGATGCAGCTACTGATGTAGCTACTGATGCAGCTCACCTTGATGCAGCTACTGATGCAGCTCACCTTGATGCAGCTACTGATGCAGCTCACCTTGATGCAGCTACTGATGCAGCTACTGATGCAGCTGCTGATGCAGCTGCTGATGCAGCTACTGATGCAGCTACTGATGCAGCTGCTGATGCAGCTACTGATGCAGCTGCTGATGCAGCTGCTGATGCAGCTACTGATGCAGCTACTGATGCAGCTACTGATGCAGCTACTGATGTAGCTACTGATGCAGCTGCTGATGCAGCTACTGATGTAGCTACTGATGCAGTTGCTGATGCAGCTACTGATGCAGCTGCTGATGCAGCTACTGATGCAGCTGCTGATGCAGCTGCTGATGCAGCTACTGATGCAGCTACTGATGCAGCTGCTGATGCAGCTACTGATGCAGCTGCATCATAACAGCTGTAAAGCTCTATAGTTTCTCTTCAGTGAGAATAAATGAGCCATGGATTCATTCAGACGAATCGTTTCGTCTGAATGAGACAAACTGAGCTCAATTATTCATATTTTGAAGTTTTCACATTTTTTATTTCTATTTTCTTTATTTTGTTAGTTTATTGTCTGAGGATAAATCGGTTCAGTTTCATCGTTTAAACACTAAATGAAATCATGAAAAACATCTGGTTTGATGCTTCCTGGTCTCAATAACTGGATGAGGTCAGAGTTCAGTGGATGCAGGTTTGTAGTTGGTCATCATGCCTCGTTCACTTTGATACATGTTGACTTGTGTTGTTGCTGCTTTATGACATCCTGAACCGGTGAAAAGATCCTGCTCAGTCAATCACTGACAATAAATTATCGTCTGATCACTACAGATAAGGAAAATAATAACTGGCTCAGGCTTTTGCCTCCCATCCTTCAACAATGGCAAGAAAGACTGAAGAATCTGTCTATAATGGAAGACAACAGCAGAACCACATGGACGTCTTTCTGAGCAAACAGATAGAGATGCTGTTAGTCTCCTGTGTTTGACGTTTCTAAGACATGTTAATTGCCAAAATGGATATAAACATTTGCTGAGTCTTTTTTCTTCTTTCTCTCTCTTTACTGTTGCATTATGTAAGTTCAAATAGAAATATGCATTCGATTCATAATATTTCTAAATAAAGAATGTTAAAAAAAATCATCGTCCAATCAGAAAGTTAGGAATCTCTTATTTGAAGTCCCAGACTCAGAAGGTTTGTGGGGTTTTCGTATCCCTCCGATTGGAACTGGTTGTTTGTTTCCTCATCCTGTTTGCAGCTCTGAGCTGCAGGATGATATCCGTGTCTCCACACTAAAGCTGTTAATGTGGCCCTGACCAGGATTAGCTGCTAACCAGGCTAAGCTCAGCGTCAGCAGAACGTGGGATTGGCGCCTCCTGACCCCGATCGGCTCCACGCAGCTGCTGCAGGACTCCTCGCCCCCTGCTGAGCATGCAGGCCACTGCTGCAGGGTCAGAGGTCACAGAGTGGCACAAGCCGCTGCCGCCCTCTGCTGGACGCAAATAGGATGAACCTGTTCATGCTGCTGTTCCATCATGAAGGATGCAGAATCGTTCATGAACTGAAGTTCCCAAACATTTTGGCACAAGCGTAACAAGCTACATATCCAATAATTCAACATAAAGTAATCAAATGTATTGGAAAAGGGTCATGGATTCCAAAAAACAGGGATTTGCAGCTTTGCCCCACTAGCAGAAATGTTGGCACTTCTTAAGAAAGTGATTGGAAAAAATGAACAAAATGTTGATTCTGAAAATCAGGATTTAGTTCAACTGTTTGAAAATGTTCAAGTTTTATCATTTTAACCAGAAACAGGGTTGGGAGCAAAATCGTCTGTGGACAGAAGTGAGGAACCAGGACTGGATTCTCGCCCGGCAGCTCCACCTGCGACACACCTGGAGGCGTTACCATGGAAACAGGCAACACCAAGCGCCGCTGCTGTGTGACAGAGGGAATGTTTGAACATTCATAACCCTTGAACTTTGCTCCTTCAGCCGCCGCCCTGCGTCAGTGACATCACCTCCTGCTGTGACTCACCTGAGGCTGGATCACCTGGTGAGCCTCGATGGAGATCAGAGCGGCTGCTGCTCTCTGCCAGGAGGAACACCTGGTCGCCACGGAGACCCGGTCGCCATGTCCACCAGAGGACGGTCCATCGGGGAACTGATGGAAACTCAGAATCGGTTAAACCTTCAGGTGTTTTCCTGCAGCGCTGATCAAACATCCAGTCAAAGTTCACAGAAACTTCCACACTGCAGGAAACCCACTCCCACTGCAGCTGTAGCAGTCAGTGTTCAGGCGTTTTTGTTTTCCTAGATCCTTCAGAGTTGTGGCGTCTGAAACGTACAGAAAGCAGATCCAGGCTGTGTGTGTGTGTGTGTGTGTGTGTGTGTGTGTGTGTGTGTGTGTGTGTGTGTGTATAAAATTAAATCTCTATTTCAAACCAAACCAGCAACGAAAAGAACAAATGTTGACTTTCCCTCTGTTTTTACTCAGACTTACAGATCAGATCCTACAGGAAGTTTGATTTGCTGCACCAGAAGTAAAATGTCTTCAAGTGTTTGGTTTTGATCATTACAACATCTAGAACATTTATATTTTTAAATGTTATAAAAGTTATACAATATGCTGAGGATACTTCATTTGTCACTGCATCTTAATAAACTCAAGTTCTCCTACCTGGTTCCACGTTTTTCTGTCTGGGTCTTCCAGGGTTGGAACCGGCCAATCAGAGGAGAAACTCCCAAACAACCCCAGCCAATCAAGAGCCAGCGTTTCCTCTGACCCGTCGGAACCTCAGAGAGCAATTGCTGTTGATGCTGATGTGGAAAAGTCTGCTCACTGAGTCATGCAGCCTGAGTGTGTGTGTGTGTGTGTGTGTGTGTGTGTGTGTGTGTGTGTGTGTGTGTGTGTGTGTGTGTGTGTGTGTGTGTGTGTGTGTGTGTGTGTGGCTGGGTGTGTGTGTGTGTGGGTGTGTGTGTGTGTGTGTGTGTGAGTGAGTGTGTGTGTGTGTGAGTCAGCTGGTCTATAAACACCACACCCTGCCCAGTCCTGGACCATAACGGAGCTGCTGCGAGTCTGAAGGTAAGAACTCGTCTCTTCACGTCGTTTCGGGTTTTAAATTTCGGTCTGAAGGAACCAGACTTTCCTTCTGAAGCTCTCGGCTGCAGAGAGAAACGGCTTTATGAACTTGTTGACTTTTAACTCTGAAAATCTAAGCTTCTGCTGAAAACCTTCAAAAAAGCGTGAGCCATGTCTTCTCACCAAGGATCTGAAGCTAAATGAATCCATCTCTCTTATTACCTCATGCATCAGAGGCTGACAGAGAGGAAACTCCTGAAGTGTGCGCCTCCAGCCCGTGAACTCTGACCTCACCATGCGTCCAGATAAAGACAGCAGTTAAAAATGTGGACTGGCTCTTTAACAGCCTGGTTACTAAGTGATGAAGTTTGTAGTTACCTGGTCAAAGGTAAATGAAGCTCTTCTAATGCGGACATAATGAGGCTTCAACGCTGCTCAGATCGCCGAACGACGCTGCCGTTACGCAACTAGCCGCACATTCCTGCAGCTCTGAGTGCATCTCCTTATCTGCAGACGCACCTTCAGGAAGGCCCAGCCGGTCAATAAATCAAACACACCTCGCTGGTTCAGGGTTCGCTGGCCGGACTCTGGAACCGACTGTTCTCCTGTCTCAGATTAATCTGATTCCTCTGGAAGAGCACAATGAGCCAGACTCTTCCTCCTGCTCATCATCTCCTCCATCACGAGTTTTCATTTAAACATAACATGGAAAATGTGCAAAATATGACCAGGAAAAGTAAGTACAAACATCTGACCAACTTCAGTGAACCAAAACCACTAGTGATGGATCCGGAAACACTGATGCGCCAAACCCGCAGACCAAACCGGCAGACCAAACCCGGCAGACCGAACCCGCAGACCAAACCGGCAGACCAAACCGGCAGACCGCAGACCAAACCGGCAGACCGAACCCGCAGACCGCAGACCGAACCTGCAGACCAAACCGGCAGACCGAACCCGCAGACCGAAACCCGCAGACCGAACCCGCAGACCAAACCGGCAGACCGAACCCGCAGACCAAACCGGCAGACCGAACCCGCAGACCGAAACCCGGCAGACCAAACCGGCAGACTGCAGACCAAACCGGCAGACCGAACCCGCAGACCGAAACCCGGCAGACCAAACCCGCAGACCGAAACCCGGCAGACTGAACCCGGCAGACCGAAACCCGCAGACCGAACCCCGCATCGAAACGCGTTGCTTTCAATGAGTCACATGACCGATACAGGAAGTGTCTGGAAATGTCACTGAGGCGCCAAACTGTGTTTATAAGGAAGCAAATCTGTAACAGGATGCATTTGCCAAAAGGATTCTTGATCTTTTACAGAGTCAATATGGAGCCTGAAGCCAAACGAAAGGTTTGGTTGTTTGGGGCCATTTTGATCCACATCAGAAAATAAGCTCTTGGTTTTCACTTGGTTGTTTCATCCGGTTCTTTCCAGTTTCTACTGGATCTATCTGAATCCTAATTCAGCTGAAATTGACTCTTAGTTTATATTCATATCATGTCCTGCAGGTTAAGCTGCATATGTTTGACAGAACTGTTGATTTAATAAATCCACCTCCTCAGTGCTGAGGCATCATAGAGCATCAGGAGGAATCCCAGATACACCTGGATAAACTCAGGTATTCTGCAAATTACTCTGTTGCTTCTTATAAATTATTTCATATAAATGTGTTGTTTACTTCATTTTTTTCTGCAGCTTTTATGACAAGTTGTGTCATAAAAGCGTAACAGACAAATTTCAAAATGTCCTCATTCCAAACATTTTCACTTAAATTTTCACTTTATGATCCATGTTCACATGAACCATAAAGTTATGAAAAATCATAACTGGAGGTGGTTTGAGTTGCTCAAAGCTTTCCAGCAAATCCAACTTCAGAAACTATTCCTGCTGATTTTTAGGACTGGAATGTCAGAATTTCCCAGTTTCCCAGCTAAAGCTGGAAAACATCTAAAGGTCGGGGAAATATCAACGGAACATCAAGTGGCTACGGTGGAGACCGGTCCGAGGTCCAAAACACAGAACCAGAGAAAATCTGGTGGAAGGAAAATAAATGAAGATCAGAAAGTAGAAAACTGAACATGAAATGAACTTTCTGACAGAAAACAGGCAGACAACAAGAAGTATGAGGCTTACCAAAATAAAACAGGAAACTAAAAGCTATGACTCAAAGTTTGAGACTTTGCAAAAAAAGTCCAACATGTGAGGACACAGCGTCCCCCAGGAAGGACTCCGTCTCTGGGTCAGGACGCGAGTCCAGAGCCGCTGGGTTCTGCCGACACGAAGTTCTTCTGCTAATGAGTACCTGTTGTGTCCTGCAGGTGGATCCATCATGGCACTGGTGTCGGAGTTCCTGGGTCAGCTGACCTTGTCTTATGGGGGGTGAGTCTCATGGTCCAGCAGGGGGCGTCCTACTCCATCACTCTGCAATTATTAATCATTGGTGACCATTTCTGTTTATCAGACACTTTAACAACGAATGATAATGAATTCTGATTTTATCATTGATAAAAACTGAAACTTAAATAAAATGTGAACGAGACAGGGAGTTTAAAATGGTCTCTAACAAAAACAAACATTAATGCAAAATCAGAAAGGAAAAACTAAACAGATCCAATAAACACAAAGCATAACTGATGCTCCACTTGCTGACAAAGACATCAATATTCATTGTTATCTCAAAAAACTAAAACTCCAGACGAATTTGAGTAACTTTGGAGTCATAAACCATCAACTGGTTCTGACCAGTTATGGTTATCACTGGTAATACAACCATATTGCCAGTTTTGCAGACTAAGAAATAAAATTTAAAAGAACGTGAATAAATTTCTTTCTTGTACAAAACCATGGAGCATAAATATAAATATAGTTAGAAAACTGTTCAGCAAACCCACCAAACAAATGACCTGAAAGAGCAAAAAGAGGATTCAGTCTTGAACATCCAGTAACTAAATGAGACAAAGTTTCATCCTGAGAACAATAACAACAGGAAACACTAAAGCCAGGATGAAGGTGTGCCTTCCAGTTTTCCCAGAACCTTTGGGAACATTAGCTCCAGTTTTCCCAGTCTCCTCCCATACAGGGTGTTCATTCAGATCACGCTTCGCTCCCGCCATCAGAGCTGTCGCCGATGGAGGAGAGACCCCGCCCTCCAACCGTCGGCGACCCCTCTGCACTTTGACTCACCTCCACCTGCGTTTCTGGATTTTTGAGCCGTCGAGAATCCCATTAATGTCCAACATCCCCACACTAAAAACGTTTCATGTTCCCAGCGTGAGCCATGTGAGGTCCTCTGAGAGAAAGAGAGAGAGAGGTTTGGGTTGGTCAGTGAACAGGTTGTGGTCAGGTCAGAGGCATGGAGGTGGAAGCATTATGCTCAGGGCTGAAAGTCTGTCTATGGGAAGGGCCATGGCTTCACATCTGAGGGGGCGTGACCCACCTGTACAGGTACATCCAGTCAGAGCAGCGTTTTCTACTAAATCAGACAGGAAAGACAGAAGACCTGCAGAAAGCACAGGTACCGGTCCGGTCCGGTCCGACTCCTCTGAATGCAGCAGCTGCTGCCTATTACAGTCCAGCTGAGACTCGGTTCTGACCCGTTTTAACTCAGGAAGTGTCTGCAGCTGGTTCCATCCCACCGGGTGGTTCTGAAGGTTTCCAGACCTACTCCAGAACCCGATTCAGGTTCTGAAGGTTCTGATTCCTCTGTCTGCAGGAGGAAGAGCCCAAATTCCCCACCGTGGTTCCGGTCCGAGACTTTGACCCGGACCGGGACGCTGCCCGGATAGAGACGGCCATCAAGACCAAAGGTGAGACTTCAGATCCCGACGAACCCAGGAGCCAGGCAGCAGGAGCCAGTCTGACCTCTGACCTTTCCTCCCAGGCGTGGATGAACAGACCATCATCGACATCCTGACCCGGCGGAGCGCCGAGCAGCGCCGAGAGATCGCCTTCGAGTACGAGCGCATCGCCAAGAAGGTCAGAACCCGGTTCCTCCGGTCCAGTTCTGTAGAACAGAACCATGGTGGCTGTGGACCGAGCCTCGGAGGAAACGGCCTTTAATGATCCACGTCAGATAGATGTTACAGCTTGATTTCATTGGTTTTATTCGCTCTGTGAGAAACTCAAAGCATGGCGGAAAATAAATGGTGGAAACATTTCTGAGACGGAACCATGGAGCCGGAAAGCGAAGAGTGTTAAATTTAAGACTTTAAAAGAGAAATGGAGCCGTTACTGTAGGATTAACATCCAGCCGAAAATGATCATCAACGGAATAAAGATGAAACGTCGTGCTGTCAGTAAGTCCTCATGTTCAAATTCAATCATCAATTTAGATCAACTAACCGGTAAACATAATATGCTGATAAATAACTAAACCAGCATCCTAACGTCTGTATTTCATAGGAAAACTTGTTCATTTAACTGCGCAGTTCCGTTCAAAAGGGCTACTTCCGGTTAGCATAGCCGCCTCAAATGAGTCAGACATCCTGTAAATAGAAATAAATCCTGTTGGCAACAGAATTCAAGAGCTCATATTTTCAAGTCACTCAGACTTCATGTTGTCCAGGAGCAGCTAAATTATAAAGATTCAATTAGACTCCAAATCTGAAAACAGCCTTTAAAGCATGGAGTGACGATAACAGCATCACAAAACTGATTTAAACAGGTAAACTAAGTCAAATATAGCTATAAGTGAACATCATAGCAAGCTTACCGCTCAGTAAAGCCATGGTTCGATGCTTGAAGAGATTTTGAACAGCAATCGGTGCTAATTCAGCAAAGGCCCTGATTGGTCTTTGAGCCGTGACGACCAATCAGGGAAGGACTTACTGATCATGTGAAGTTGCTCATGTCTCCCCCTGGTGGTTGCGGAAGGAACTGAAAATGTCAGCATGAACGTGTCTCGTGTGCAGGACCTGAGTGTGGCCCTGAAGGGGGCGCTGTCCGGCGCTCTGGAGGCTCTGCTGCTGGGTCTGATGAAGACCACCGCCCAGTATGACGCCTCGGAGCTCAAAGCCTCCATGAAGGTCAGAGCTGACTGCCAGCAGCGGCAGCGCCGCCTGCTGGTCACTGCAGGAAGCTCAGCCTGGTGCAGAAGGCTCTCCAGCCTGACCCGGTTCTGTTGGTTCTGGTTGTGTGCAGGGCCTGGGGACCGACGAGGAGACGCTGATCGAACTGGTCTGCTCCAGGAACAACGGAGAGCTGGCGGAGATCAAGAAGGCTTACAGAGAGAGTGAGTGACAGAGCCGGACATGAAGAAGGTTCCTGGACTGCCAGAACCTTCTGGACCAGGTTCTGATCGGGTTCTGCCGTTCAGTCCTCTTTATTTGGTCTCTGCAGTGTTTAAGAAGGAGCTGGAGAAGGACATCTCAGGAGACACATCGGGAAATTTTGCCAAGCTGTTACTGGCTTTGGTCCAGGTACCACAGAACCAGAACCGGGTCTCTGCAGACCTGACTGGACCAAAATGCACTGGACTGGACCAGACTGAGTAGAATACTCTGATCTTTTTCAAGTCAGCTGGAAGACCAGACTGTTGGTTCTGATCCGGTTACTGTAAACCAGCAGAACCTGTACCAAGTACTGAGATTAGTTACCATGACAACGCAGGTGATACACACCCCGGTGTCATGGCGATGTCACCGGGTGTCATGGCGATGTCACCGGGTGTCATGGCGATGTCACCGGGTGTCATGGCGATGTCACCGGGTGTCATGGCGATGTCACCGGGTGTCATGGCGATGTCACTGGGTGTCATGGCGATGTCACCCGTTGTCATGGCGATGTCACCGGGTGTCATGGCGATGTCACCCGGTGTCATGGCGATGTCACCGGGTGTCATGGCGATGTCTGGGTTCAGACAGTTTTGCCAGTTATGCTTCAATAATTGGCAAAACTTTCTCCATCTGAACAGAACTGAGAGGATCCTGACCTCAGCTTTAGAGGTCAGGATGACCTTTGACCCGAACCTTCAGAGCAGTATAAAATTCCACAGTGGGCCTTCTGGCAGCTGCAGAACATTTCCAGGGCCAGAGACTAAAGTCTCAGATCAGAGAAACTCATCCAGGCTTTGACTCCTGCAGCAGGTCGGACTGACAAACCGACGGTCCAGAGCTGCTGCAGTTCTGACCAGAACCAGGAGGACAGAGAACTTTGACCTTTCTTCTGGCTGAAATGTCCCCAGAACGAGTGAATCTCTGAATGTTTCCTCCAGACCAAAAGAGACGAGCCGAGCAACGTGGTGGACTACCAGAAGATTGACGACGACGCCAGAGTGAGTACGCTTCGGAACCGCCGGGCTCCTCTGCGGGTCAGAACTTGTTAGCTCTGGTGCCCGACTACCCATGTTGTCTTTTTATTCTTCTCTCCAAGTCCGACTCGTTTGGACTCTGGGTCCGGCTCATTCCGGACTTTTGTTCTGACTCGAGCTCCAAGTCATTATCATAATTTCTGTTGTTCATTTAAAAAGCGACTCAGCTCATATTGTTTAGGTTCTGACGGGCCGGGCTTGGTGTTCTGACCCGGTTTTCCTGCGGTTCTGTGCTCAGGCTCTGTACGAGGCCGGGGTGAAGAGGAAGGGGACGGACGTGGGCTGCTGGATCTCCATCATGTCCGAGAGGAGCATCCCTCACCTGCAGAAAGGTACCGATGAGTTCACAGTCAGAGTGAAGAGTTCTGGCCCGGTTGGGCCCGCTGCAGGTCCGGGCCGGTCCTGTTGGGTCACCGTGGTAACTGTCCTCCCTCCTGCGTGCCAGTGTTTGAGCGCTATAAGAGCTACAGTCCGTACGACATGAAGGAGCATCAGGAAGGAGGTGAAGGGAGAACTGGAGAAGTCCTTCCTCACTCTGGGTACATTCCATCCTCAGGTCCAATCAGAACCCTCCCGAACCAGAACCCTCCAGAACCAGAACCCTCCAGAACCTCCTAACTGACTCTGCTTTCCTTTCAGTGGAGTGTTTCGAGAACCGGCAGCTGTACTTTGCCAACAAACTCTATGAAGCCATGAAGGTAACCAGAACCACCGGGTGCCTCTGGTTGGGTTTCTGGGCCCTGGTTCTGATCCGTGGTGGGGTTTTGACCCGCTGTCTGTCCCTTCAGAGTAAAGGAGCCAAGGAGAAGGTGGTGACCCGGATCCTGGTGTCTCGCTGCGAAGTGGACCTGATGAGGATCAGAACCGAGTTCAAGAGGCAGCACAAGAAGTCTCTGTACCAGACCATCGCTGTGAGTCACTGCAGTGTCCCACGCTGGCCGAGACCCTGAACGCACCACCAGCTTCAGGGTCTGACCCCCAAACCAGCGCCAGGAAAACAGGCTGCATCTGTTTCCACTGTAACGGATATCGGATCTGCATGTCGGACCACAGGAAGCAGTAACTCTGCTCTCTGGTTCAGATCTGTGTCGGTTCTGATCCGTTCAAGCCTCAGGAAAACGGTTCTTCTGTTTCATCTTTATGAAACCTAAAAATGACTAAATTGATTACGCTTTTTCACTCCCAGAGTTCCCAGTGGCCACAGTGTGATGACTCCCAGCAGATTCAATCCCATGTGGATGAAATCTGGATGCTGGTTCTGATTCTGACTGAGACCCGGTTCTGTTGCAGGAACACACCAAAGGAGACTACCAGAAGGCTCTGCTGAGTCTGTGTGGAGGAGACGACTGAAAGGACCGCGTTTCCCAGCAGGCACCGGGGCGCAGCCGCTCATCTGAACTGTTGACCTTTGATTAGGTTTCTGCAATAAAAAAGTGTGAAAAGCTGTTGAGGAGAGTCTGGTTTCTGACCGGCAGGGGCAGCAGAGGCACAGCAGGCAGGCATACCTGAAACCAAACATCTTTGTTTTTATTCTGACATTTTAATGTTTAAATTTAGGATAAACTATAAACGTTGGAACCATCTGATGCAGAAAACAGCAAGTCAGACAAACATTTAACAGTTAGAAATCTTTTTCTCTTCAGTATTAATCTAGAAAACAACAGACTGATTTTCCAAACTCATGTTTTCACCTGATAGTGACGAATATCACAGCTAACTGCTTCTACACTAAGTATTTAGGTTACATATGTGCAACTAGACATATCCAAGTATTTCGATGAAGCTGAATATTTAGCATGCTAAAAGTTTAGCTTGCTAACTAAATGTTTAGTTTATCTCTAAATATGGAGCTTATACTTAATAATACACCAAATTATTGATGTTAATGTTTGATAAAAACCCAGAATCCTCTCGGAACCGGGAGTCCTGCAGGTGGTGGCAGGAGTTGGATGTGGGCCCGCCCAGACCGCGCCCCCTTCAGGAGGGATAAGGAAACGCACCACCTGATGCAGCGCTTCTGTCTCGCAGCTCAAGCAGCTCCAGACCGGCAGGTGACCCGGTCGGTGCCGAGGCGGCCCGCGGTCGGCTCCACGACCAGCAGAAGCAGGAAACTCAACAAATATTTCCCGCTGGAAGCTGCAGCGAGTTGAATCATCTTTCCTGTGAAGTTTGTGCGCAGCGCCGCTTGTGCGCAGCGCCGCTTGTGCAGCTTTGAAGCTGGGATTCACGGCCGCCGACTGAGCCGCCGCGTCTCATGTTCGTTCCGGGAGCATCCGGAGCTTCCGCAGCTGCATCCGGCTTTCATGTGTGTCAGCCTCGGCGGTGACGGAGCGGCTGACAGAGATGGAGGAGTCGCTGCCTGCAGGGCTGAGTGACGGCCGTCTGCGCTAATGCAGCCTGACGGGCTCCTGATGGCGGCGCGTCGCTACAGAACCTGAAAGAGCTGCGGCCTTTGATTCCCGCTCCTCATCCTGACAGCTCCGCTCCGCAGCCTCTTGCCTCTTTTGTGGGAAGTTTTGCAACAATTAGCATAAATGTTTCATGTCCCGCCGCCCCGCGCCGCCCCTCCGCCCCGCGCCGCCCCGCCGCCCCTCCGCCCGCGCCGCACACCGGGATTCGGCTTGGAAAGCGGCGCGGCGCGGCGCAGCCAAACATATGTTCCCTTTGTGGAATCTTTTATTGAACATATTTGGGAGCAAAGAGTGCGGCGTTTGGTTCAGAGACTGTAAATCTCCGCACTTGTTCCCATTATTTATTTCACAGCAACTTATTTACATTTCAGATGGCGCGGTTTCCGCGGCAACGCAGCTCCCTGCTGACGCACCAACTTTCAGTCGAGCAGAAAAGTCAGCAGCAACTTTTCCTTCTGCAGCGCGACGCTTCATCTGTCCGAACCGGTTCCGGTTCAAAACCCAAATAACTAACAAACATGGAGACCGACTAACCGCTGCTGTCTGGAACAAAAGCGATTTGTTCATCTGTGATAAAAAAAAATTAAATAAAATGTTGGAGGAAACAGGAGGAACTGGATCCTGAGAATCAGGTCAGGATTCTGGGCGCCAGAGCAAATATTCATATTAAAACCAATATTTTCCCACCAAGCAAAAATTTAGCTAAATTAATTCATAATTTATTGCCAAGACACTCAGTGAGGCTAAAGATATAATGTGAAATATTTTGTTTACAAACTAAAACTTACTAAACTTAATTTCCAAATAAAATTTTATCTCCAAATAATATTAAGCTTGAAACTGAATATTTAGCTTCAAATGATATAAAATGTTTTATTTGTGAATGAATGAAAAAAAATCTTTTTCTGGCTGAATAAAACAATGATTGCCTTTACAAACGGCTCCAACAGAACCCGGTCCGGACCGGAGCAGAACCCGGTCCGGACCGGAGCAGAACCCGGTCCGGACCGGAGCAGAACCCGGTCCGGACCGGAGCAGAACCCGGTCCGGACCGGAGGCTCTTGGATCGTTGGTCTCATTAAACATGTTAACACGGCGCCACACCTGCAGGTGCTAAAAGGTGAGCGCAGGCTCCGCCCACCTCCAGGTGCCGCTTCAGCAGAGGAATTTATGATCCGAATCGTTCAGAACGTTCTTCTTACAGCCGGCTCCCCTGGACGGGTCCATCAGAACCAGAATAAACTCTGTTGCCGATGGACCTGGTTTGGTTCTGGAGGCTCTGCTGGTTCTTGTTTGGATCGGAACTCGTGTTTGTTACGTCACCAGGCTGGAAAAACATCCAAGAACAAACCAGAATTTTCTGACAATTGAATTTATTAAATGATACAAAAATAAAACCAAAATGAGAAAATAAAATAGATCAATGTGAAACCCGAACACACAAACCGAACCGAACGGGGTTCGGGGGGAAAAATCTCCTGTCTGTTGCAATCAGGGCAGGAGGACAGAACCAGAACCAGAACCAGAACCAGAACCAGAACCCTGCAGCCGCAACACTCTGGATCTCAGAATAATCCGACAGAACCGAATTTCACTTTTCAGCAGGAAATCCAGAACTGCGTGTCAGAACAGAACCGGGTTCGGTCCGTATCCGGTCGGGAAGATCCGGCATGTAGGAACTCTGATGTTTCAGAGGTCTAGAGAGGGAGTTCGGTTCCTGGACGGGAAGGCCCGGTTCGCTCTGCGAGATGCTCTCTTGGTTCTGATCCAGACCGGATCGATCGATTGATTGATTTATTGATTGATTGATCAGATCATATTAAGAGAAACCATCGATCCAGGGCGGCTGCAGGTGGAGGAGCCCAGCTTGTCCTGCTGCAGGAACAGGGAGAGTGACGTCACGGTTCCATAAGAGAAGCGTGACGTCACCGAGCCTCCGCTGGGTGACGTCATGCTAACATGATCATTACAGGATAATAAGGAGCAGGAACAGGTTTTACCTTCGGTTGCTTTGCTAAAGATGGATGTAGATGGAGCAGGGACCAGCTGGGAACGCTGGGAACGTCGGGAACGCTGGGAACGTCGGGAACTCCATGAGCTTCAGGAACGTCTCCAGTTTCCTCCTGAAGGTAAAACTGAGCCTTCAGAGTGATGACCTCCATTCATTATGACCCGCTTGAGTTTCATTTAGTGCCAGATCCGACAATTAACGGGAGCAGCTGAGGAGGGGGGTGGGGGCGGGGGCGGGGGGTAGACAGGAGGGGGACGGGGTAGACGGGGGGGGAGCGGGACGCCCAGAGGTCGCCCTCCCTCCACCTTCAGTGATAAATTAACTTCCTTAACCAGCCTTCCTCTCTTCCTCCTGAATGTTTCTGTCATTTCCGGTCTTCCTTCTCTCCTGATGTCTCAAAGTGTCTACGTCCATCAGCGGTTTGTCCAGGTGAGTCTGATGGACGCTGCGCACGCGGAAGCCCTGCGCGTGCGCGGCGTCCTGAGCTAAACACATATTAGCTTTGGGATCCGGACGCGGCGCGTCGGGCCGCCGCATCGCTCATCCTGCGGGGGACAAACACAATTACAGAGAAACTCCTGACCTCTGCATCTCCCTCCATTTAAATGTTTTGATGTCTCATTGAATTAGTATCACAGTGTGAAAGACAAAGCTAATGGAAATGAGCCAGAGACAGCGCGCTCTGCTGATTGGGCCGATATAATTAGAATAATATCACGTCCGGCGTTAATAAGAAGGAAAGGAAATAAATAACCGGCCGTCCGTTAATAGCTGAAATGTGCCGAGGCCAGCGCTTCTCCTGTTTGCTCATGGGCCGCTGATGCGTCGCAGCGATCCTCCGCTTCTCCCTCCTGATTATTCATCGTGATAAATACATAAGGACGGACTAAATTATGGCTGTTTTTCAGCCGCCGCGGCTCCCTGAGAATTAGTTCCGCTGATGGATGGGACAAGCCACCGCAGTCTTTGGCTTTTCTCCACAAATATTTTTTCCCGTTGACAGCCGTGAAGATGTGCTTCTCTTCTTTCACGGCTCTAATTGTTTTTCCTCCGGTGGACATTATTATTTGTCATTTTTAGGAAATTACCAGGAAACGAAGCTGCGGAGAGGGAACTCAGATGATGCAGCTTTAAGAGAATTTAAAGGTCATAATTCATATTAACTCTATATTTCATCCTCACAAAAGCCTCAATAATTTATTCAAACGCTATTATATGCAGAACAATTAATTGTTATCTGGATTCAGTTTAATTTATATCTTTGGTTTATTTAGAACTTTTAAAGGTTCAGCCGTCGGGAATTGCTGCCATCTAGTGGTGGCTGACAAAATGAAACGAGTCAGTTTGTATTGAAGGCGGAAGTGAGAAATCCTTTCATCCATCATCACTGGACATGTAACCATGGAGGCGGTACCAGACCAGCAGTGAGAGAGACAAAACACGTTAAAGTCCAAAAGATCCTGCAGAAGCTTCGTGTCATTGTTACCTATTATAATCAGTTATTATTATTCTTGTTATCATTATTATAACGGGAATAAAAAATATCAAGTTCATTTCTGTAATTAATCTAATTTTAATCTAAAAGTCTAAAGTGTCAGATTTCCGGTGTTAGTTTTATTCCAGAGTTAAACTTAAGCAGCTGTCTGAAACTGACGTCAGACAGAGCTCCTCCCATAATGCTGATGTAACTGTGACATCACAGGTTTTGCCAAGGAGAGGGCAGCAATATGGCGTCTTGTCTGGAGATGACAAGGGAAGCTCCATGTTAACATTATTATGTTTTTGATTAATTTTTATGGACACATTAATTTTCTGTTTGCGTATCGATTCATGTACATAGTTTGCTTAATGTCAGTTTATTTGTCATACAATGTCTAGTATTTCTGTTAGCAGCTAAAGCTAGCCAAGCAGGTGTAGCAGGAGGTGTTGGGTTCAAAACCAAACATTGAAACTGTCAGAAAAAATCCATTTGAGTTAAAATGATTTAGCTGCAGAGTCGTTTTCTGAAGGTTTTGGCTTTAGACGC